CAACTTGAAAGTAAGATAAAATTTTATAAAGAAACAAAGGGGTCAGCACTTAGATATTTAAAGTGATATATACATGTTTTTTTATGATGATAATTTTGTGAGCAAAGGGTTTTTGTAATTTTTTGAATTTTATAAGAGCAACAAATTTTGGAATACAGATTGAAAAGAAAGAATTTACTCCTGAATTCCGCCTTGTGCTAATCTCTTGCTGGAATATGAGTCTGTTCCCCAGACTTACCTCCATACAACAGCTCCATCTCCTCCCGTAGACTTAATTGTGCTACCTTTGGCCGTAGCAACCCCAGGTGCTTGCATATCTTATTGCATTCGTGCTGGGTAGAGAAGTTCTCCAAGCCTTTCCTTCCAGTATTTCCGTCGCACCAAGCCATACTGGGGCCAAAACAAACCGTCAGGCAAAATGATGGAATGCAAGCACAAAAGTACTCACTTGCTCGTATCCACAATCAAAGGGTCTGTCAATACCAAACCTACCCCCTGAAGATCCGCAACCATTCTTCTTCCGTCATAGTGTTTATGAGACCAATGACTGAGAGCTTGCATTACTTCATTGACTAAAGGACTGTCTGAAGGCCGGAGTTCAAAGTTGTGATTGCTGGTATACTTGCGGTATTGTGTAACATCAAGTACTTCTTCAAAGAAATAAGCACATTCTGTCGTAGCACTGCTTCCTGCATAGACCGGAAAGTTTTGAACCATCTGGAAAATAAAAACATGTTATCGAGAAAGCTTGAATAAAATGAGATCCATATATTTGACTCACACGAATGTTTTGGATAGCTTCAACCGTTGCAGGGAAAAGTTGAATTTCATTCAGACCCAAAGCGGCTTTCTTAAACTTTTCAATCACCATGGAAACAGCAGCATACACTCCACCGGATTCTTTATGGACAGCCAGATGAGTCATATTGGGAGGCAGCTCCCTCCGCTTCTTGGCAACCATCGGAGTCACCTCACCACCAGGTGTTCTTCCAAAGGCATTGTAACATGTCCTGAAAGAACCTTTTCCAATCACCACACTTTCATCAACTTTGAAATGATACGGTGTTACCACCCATTCCGGTTTACCTTCTGCATTTCCTGTCAAAATGCATTTTTTCCCAACGGTGAAACCGTCTGTAGTCTCAGCAGGTGGAACAGGGCGAGCCATGGGAAGCTTTCGTCCAAATACGGAGATATCAATAGCCTCTCTGAAATCAAAGGCCGGTACTAAGGAGGGCATGTCAGCCAGACCAAAAATGAGTTGTGAACAAGAGCGGTGAGCTTACCTGTCTGGTGAGGTGGTATCACATGAGTCATAGCTACAGGAGCTACATCACTCTGAGCACGGTGGAGAGATTTTCGTGGGGTGATGGGTGGCGGGAGTGTGTATGTAATATTCTTGGTTTTAAAATTAGAAGCCTTCTTTCGAGTGACTCGTGGTGAGGTGACTTTTGTTGAAGTTGAAGGTGTACACCTGGCTTTCTTGCTTGGCTGGAATATTTTGACACTCAAAGGCAGATCACCATCACTATCACTATCACTATCACCATAATCCGCTTCTTCATCTCCATCATCTAATAACATCTCCTCATAAGTCAAATGTTGAGATGCCTTTCTTTTAGCTTGTCGTTGAGGTTGTACCGGCTTACTGGTGGAAGGTCGAAGCCAAGGATTATTTTTGACATATTTGTCAGCCAGAAAAATTAGCTCGAGGCTAGGTTCTCCTTTAGTGTCGTCAAGATATCTGGCAAAAACTTCATTGTTATGTAAGACCACAGGTGATTTCCGGCCACGGCCGGTTTTGGCCAGGTTGAAATACTCAGAGTTGTAAACTTTGGGTGCCTGAGGGTAAAGAGGAGAGTCAACAGAGTGGTCCCACAGGTTGAAGATGCCTTCCTTAGTGTCGTCCAAGAGTGTCAACAATGACCTATCCACAGTGAAAGTTCCCCGGAGTAGACCATGAGCAAAAGAGCCAGTTTCATATATCACCATCCATCCTACAGAGCATACTCGGCCAGTGTGAGTAGTGAAAGGTGGAGGTTTAGGTGCAGCTGGGTGACCATTAAACATGCGGTTGCTGCTAGCTTGTTTCTTGGCAGCAGCTCGTTTTGACTTGTTGCTTTGAAGTTGGTGGACATGAGTACCAGTGGAAGTCGAGGTACGGGCTGCAACAGCTGCTTTGGCATTGATGACCTTGAGATTGGCAGGGCGGGGTTGAGAAGCTTGGGTGGGTGCCTGCTGGGGGGGAGAAGGAACCTTTTTGTTTCGGTCCGCATTGATGTTTTCAAGGCAGGGTCCACATATTTTGTGTTCGCCTTGACGGAGAGTACTTTGACATAAGGGACAAGTAGGTCGGTTCATGATGGTGAAATATGAATATCTGAGAGAAACCAAAGTCAAAGAAGAAGCTGATTGAAGAAGATTGAAGTCGATCAAAGAAGATTGAAGAAGATTGAAACCGATTGAAACCGATTCAAGAAGATTGAAGAATATTGAAGAGGATTCAAGAAGATTGAAGAAGATTGAAGAAGATTGGAACCGATTCAAGAAGATTGAAGAAGATTGAAGTTGATCGAAGAGAATTGAAGAATACTAGGGAACAATGAAGCCAATACAAGAATATTGGAGAAGGGTGAAGCCGATCCAAGAATATCAAAGAAGATTGAAGACAATCAAAGAAGGATGAAGAGGTGTAAAGATGGTCAAATAAGGATGAAGAAGAGTGAAGAAGAGTGAAGACGATCAAATAAGGATGAAGAAGAGTGGAGACGATCAAAGAGGTTCAGTGTAGTGTAGGTTTGGTTGAACAAGTGGATGGGTGGAGACTATGACAAAAGTTGGAGGAATGTCTAAGATGATCGGTGATGGTGTGTGTGTGATTGGTTGAGAGGTAGAGAGGTAGAGAGGTACACTTTTCATCATCTAATGTGAAGTTTTCATTTTTGGGGTCTTTGTTTATGGTTTGTTAATTGTCGTTTTTTGGTTATCGACATTTGTTTTTTGATTTTCAACTTTTGATTTTTTGATTTTTTGATTTTTGAATTTTGATGTCCTCTTTTGTGGTTTCCTGGTACTTTTTGTGTCAATGCAACAATGGGGTGACAAATGTTGAGTTTCAAGTTGTAATTCTACTGAAATTTGGACCGTAACCTGGTCTGAAAGGGGTTTCTGCCATGACTTTTACTCCGGTACAGGGGTTTTATCCATGTATTTGAGTATTTTCTTGAGTTTTGTCTTTGATTTTTGAATTTCGCACCCGGGAAGTGTGATTTTCGTTTTTTGATTTTTGCATTGTCACCTTGACACCTCTTGCATTCCGTAGTACTCAATACTTTCAATGATTTGCGTTTGCATGTCAACAACAACTGATGTGACAATCATTGCAGCTGAAGATATTGACGAGAAAAAGAGGTTGTCAGCTCTTTACAAGATCATAGCCAAAAGGATGTGCAAATTATTCAAGAACTGGCGGCATTTGAAAGATCAGCTAGTTGATACTTGCCAGTACCTACCAGGCTGTGACACTCTCGACCAAAAACTTCAAGAGGAGTGGAAGGTTGTTAATGATTGGGTCACTCTGGAGTGGGAAAAATTGACCACCTCACAGGTTATCAGGGCAGAGGAGGCGGAATTGTATGAGGATCAGGAAGATCTTTTTTATGATCAACATTACGACATGAATGGTGATCTTTTATTGAGATATTACGTATAAGATTTGTATGTTTCACAGTGATGGTATTGTATATTTCTATCAAAGTGATCTACGTGAATTTCATTATAACTATATGTATTATGTTATTGTAATCTTATTTTATGAACATCAATTTTAATGTTATTTCTTGGTATATCTTATTGGTGAAGTAAACAAACACTGCTTAAATAAGTAAAACAAAATAAAATTTGAAGTCAATTACTTTGATCGATTACTTCGATTGTCATTTATGATTGCTCTGTTTATTAATTTCAACTAAGCAAATACAAAAAGAATATTACATCACAAGATATCAGTGATATATTATATATCATTGATTTGGTGTTCAAGATTGGTGTTCAAGACCATAAATTACAATAACTAGATTTCAAACTAATCGCTATCTGACACTAAGTCTACAGTCTCTTTCTTTCCATACAACCAAGGGTTTTCTTTAAGTAATATAGGTCGGATACAATGGTGGAACTTCTTAAAATGGGAATCAAACTTATTAGCCCACTCTATCGCATCTGGCTTTGCGAGTGTGTACCACTCTTTCCACGGATTAGGGATAGGGACAATATGAGAGGAGATGAGCGACAGGGACAAAAAATGAAGACCTTTGTGGTCATAACAGAGAAATATGGGCGGATTGTCATTCACAGGACCTTCCAGAGGTAGCGCTGAAAAACATCCTGCACCTTCACCATAGACACAGAACAGCCGTTTGTACGTTGATGCAATGATGTATAACATCCGTGCCGAGTTAAGCCACAGCAAAGGTGTATCCAACACAGTGTTCCTTCCCGTTCTGGGTGCTGAGATGTGTTCCAAAACCCCGCCAAGTCCATTCTTGCGTGCTGCCAAGTGTGATTCGTAGAAATCTACTTTTGAATTGAGCTCATCAATCAGCTCTTCTCGTACCAATTTCCAGTCATCTTCAGTTCGTCCAAGACTAATTGCAATCGCCCAATATCCACAGTGACCATCACCACAAGGGTCTGACACCAATTCTACATACTCATGAAGCCAATGAGGCACACGCTGGTCCTGAAAGATTGTACATCATCATTAACTGGCAAGTAAGGTTAAAGGAGTAAGGGCAGAGGAGTTTTGATTGGAACGTACCCACTTTTTGGGTTTTACGCGTGCGCGTAGACCGGCGAACACATGAGGAAACTGAGTCAGGATTGACGGCGGTTATGGAAACGGGCTCAGCCACTTGATGTCTAGTTGACCGACGAAGTTTCTGATCATTCTGAACTTCTTCAGGTTGCAAAGGTTTAACCTTCTTCTTCTGATTAACAATCTACAACGTAACATAAAAAGAATGGCTGTGAGAAACTAGAACTTGAGAGGGGTGTGGATATCTATGAAATAACATGACCTGTGTGGGTGGCTGTAGTGGTGAGAGTGGGGTGTTGTCGACTTTTTGAGTTTGTTCCTGAATCGAGTGTAAACATGGTAACAAGCTTTCGACTTGGAAGCTTCTGTCCCCATCATCGTTATTGCCGCATGAGGGTGAAATCGGTGCTACGGTGGCCTCAATGTTGCTCGAGTCGGGTGAAGCTGCCTGTGTCTGACCAATAATATGAGGCACGTTATCTGTTGATGAAATCTAATTTTTACATGTTAGTGTACGGAATTAACATAAGTATGACAAATGAGGTAGGTAACTCACCTCGATTGGTGAATTTGTTGGGCTGAGGTTTGGTGAAGGCTTCAAAACAAATGTGTCAGTCAATGACTTTTCCATCCAAAGAAAAACTGATAATGTTAGAGAAGGTTTACTAACAAACTGTTCTGTGTCATCGGGTGGCTCAGACTCGTAATCGACCAAACACGGATGAAGGGGATTAATCAGGGCATTTGCTAAGTCTGATGTGTATGTAGATGTACAGTGTGAATCAAATCGAAGTGGCGGTGAAAGTGGGGCCAAAGGTGCAGGGTCTGTTTGTGACGGTGAGAACAGGGGAGGAAGGGGTGGTGATGACCGAACAAGAGATTGTGGTGCGAAAAGCTCGGTGGTTTCTGTGGCTGTCAAATCGGCCTTTGGATGAGAGGTTACCTGTAGTATATTGATACTGGGGGTCTTTTTTCGTTTCTTCTTGACCGTACGAGGTACATCATCGGTCCCATTGGTACTTTCCTATATAAACAAAGCAACAAAATATCAAAGTGGTCAGTTTGATTCAATAGATCAAAAGGAGGGGTACCAACAACTGATAATGACACGATGTGAGGTTTGGATGGTCCTATGATGGATTGGGTGGGGTCTAAATGACTGGTGAGGGCTTCTTTACTCGTAGTTGACTCTGGGAGTTGAATGATGTCTGTTGCAGAAGATTGAATGGCTGAACGTGGTGGTTTGAGAATGAAATACTTGGCAATTACTTGATCAATCTCATCAAGGGCCTGTGCCTGTTGTTCGTGCGGAATTTGTAAAATTCTATTCGATACCTGGGTGAAACTTGGTAAACCAACAGCTCAGTGTGAGATTACTACTAACTGGAAAAACTTACCATGCTTGACCGTTCATTGATTGCTGACAAAGCCAATTTCTCATCATGTGAATCTGCTCGTTCTGGCTACATTAAAGTTGAGAGTGTTGGAATGAGGGTTAGTGTAACTTGTTGGTGTTGGCAATACCATAGGAGTATGTTGTTACCTCGAATCCAATTGGTTTGTGATTGTGAGTTGGATTTTGGATGTGAATGGTCCAGCTACCAATTGGAGGTAACCTGGATTTGTTTCCATCAAGTGCTAAGGCTCAAAGGTGATTGGGTAATGAAGATGGTACAATCTGCAAAACCTTGAAGGCGAATGGACAATTTGTTTTGAGAGAGCTTGAATTGAGAGAGGGTTTATGACCTGATCGATGGCACTTGTAACGTATGCTGTTGCCTTCTGATGATCGTGTGGCAATTTTGTATCCATTCACAGCTGCGTGTGCTTTTAGCTGGTTCTGCATATCGGCAAGCGAGGCGGTGACAAGGTCATGGGGGGGTGGTTGAAGGTTAGGACGGTTGCGGTATGTTGAGGTGGTAAACGACATGGAGGGTTGAAATGGCTATCGAGAGGTGTAGTGTCAAGGTCGATTTGTTGTTAATGATTTCTGAGAGGATGATAGTAGGTGAGTTGCTTTGTTGAGGGGTGTGTGGTTAGGGTATGAGGGTATGAAAATTCTGTGGTGTAAATATCGTTGTGACTGGAGTGGTTAATGTT